CAGAATGTTTCTCCAGTGAAATGATTCAAACCGACGCAAGCTCTTTAAGTGGCTCTCTTTGCTTCGTGGTCGGGGCTTAAGTTTCAGTCGGGCCTGATGAAGCACGAGCGTCCCTGGTTGGGAAGGTTGTAGGCAGTACATGTTTGTTTCTGTGCTTGCTCTCTGTAACCCTGGACTATTAAATTATGCAGCCCTCTTATGATGTGAAAATGCTGAATATTCTGTTGTGATATAAAGAGTTTACAAATGAATATGTGAGAGGAAAGCAATGGAAGAACAAAGTGTAACTGCCAACGTTTGCCCCCTGACCTTTAACTGTGAAATGGGAAAATTGCTTTGAATAGTGACATCACCTCCCTGCATGTCCTTACCTGAAACGCACCAACAGTGGAAAGTATTTGTACTTGTCATGTGAACTGGTGTTTTTCTTGCTGTCACATTAAAGAGCGATTTCACCCAAACTCTGCTGCTCCAGGTGTGCTGACCTCTCTGAAGATTGTAGGTCAGATCTGTAGTAAAAGAGAAACTGCAAACTAACCCTCAAACTTGAGAAATGTTTGAAATGAGGAAAAGGATGTGCATGCCATCGCTTTTCAAGTGACAGTTTCCTTGTTGAAGTGACATGTCATTATTAGAGAGATGTGTAATGACACATGACCAACAAATGCAGATTCAGTACGTTTTTGCTTTCAGTGAAATGAAATCTAACAGCCAGCAAGAAAAGGTATTCGTTTCCTTAGTTACACTGTTGTTGCCCTGCTTAAAAAAAGTAATGTATAACTTCCGACCACTAATGTGGAGTTTGTAGCTGCAAAACATAAATAGGCTAAATAGCTCACATCGAGATGATCATTGATTCACTGTTGGACAAGGAGGACAACAGCGAGGACTGTGGCTGTGCAGAGTCAGCCTGCTGCGGGTTGCAGCTTTCTAGATAACTGTTCACAATACAAGTGCGTGTCTGGAGCAAGCATTCAAAACTTAATTTATGTAACACACATACAACCCAATCACTTTGCTAGGCAAACCAGTTCAACTGCTCTTTAACACAGATAAGTAACCAGTCGGTCTCATGGCAGCAACTCAATGCATTTACACATGTATACATGGTCGAGATGACAAGTTGAAGTTCAAACCAAACATCACAGTGGAGTAAATTTAAGTGACTGAATGTGGCACAATCGTCTAGAGTTTACAGAGAATTGTCTGAAAAAAATATTCAGTAAGCAACTAGCAAGTGTTAAACCTTGAAAGCAGATGAGCTACAGCAGCA